CGTGAGCCACTTCGCCTGGCACAATGAGATATTAATATATTTCAAACCCATAGAAAGGCAAAAATTAAATTTAATTCCAAAGTTTAATTTAGTAAAATTAAAATAAATGTAAAAGAGGCTACTTTTAAGTACTACTTGGATACAGACCTGACAAAGAAGAAAGTTCATAAAAAATGTCAGGTCAATCAGGCAGGAAAAGACTATGGGTGATTTCTAGGTCTGTTACAAGAGAACTTTATTTTATTTTATCTTCTATTTATTTTATTTTTTATTTTTATAGGTACATAGTATGTGTATATATTTATGGGGTACATGAGATACTTTGATACAGGCATACAATGCTTCATAATCACATTTGGGTAAATGGGGTATCTATCACCTCACCTCAAGTATTTATCCTTTCCTTGTGTTATAAACATTCCAGTTATACTCTTTTCATTATTTTAAAATATACGCGACAAAATTATAGTAGTCAACATATTGTGCTATCAAATACTAGATCTTATTCATTCTATCTAACTATATTTTGGTACTCTTTAACACTGCCCACTCTCCCCTCCCCCAATTGCCCTTCTCAGCCTCTGATACTCATCATTCTACCATCTATCACCAGGAGTTCAGTTGTTTTGATTGTTAGCCCTCATGCATGAGTGAGAACATGTGAAGTTTGTTTTTCCCACAAATGGGTGAGAATATAAGAAGAAAGGACAAAGTGCCGTATTTCACTTAAGAAAATGTGGTACACATGCACAATGGAGTACTATTCAGTCATAACAAAGAATGAGATCCTGTCATTTGCCACAACATATATGGAACTGGAGGACATTTTGTTACAAGAAAACTTTTAAGAGAAACCTATGTGGCCCCAGAAAAAGTGTGTACATGGTGTTAGGAGATATAAATATACGAATTGAAAGGAGATTTCTTAATACTGTATTCTCTTGGACGTATATCCTGTGCACAATCTGAAAACATACTAGTAAGGTTCTCTTGAATAAACAATCTTATTAGGAAGACAAAATTATTTTAGGAAGGAATAAGGATGAGAAAAAGGATAGAGAGAAGGTACAAATTATAGTGTATCAGGGCCCAAAAGGGGACCAGGACTACTTTACATGTCAATACAGTATTTTTTAACTGGTCTGCCTGTGCTTGAGGGAGACTTGAATGTCTCCCTTCCCCACTTTCCCAGCGTCAGGCTGAATGTCCAGTCTTAGTGGCCTTGGGAAGAAGTCTGGATTGTTTAATCAAACACATTTACTTATACTTCATTAACTTTGGAAGATGAGCTGAGAGAATAGTGAGGTGTGGAGATCTGCGTACTAATGAATTCACTTCAGGTGATGCCATAGATATTTATGATGGAAGAACATAAAAAAAAAAAAAAAAAAAGAAACGCTTCTGATCTCTTGGTGGGCAGAATGTTGTATAATGAATCTCTCAAAAGTGTCAACATTAACCATAAGCTTCATGCATAGAAAGATTGTGAGCAAAAGGGATTAAAAAGAAGGATGAAGAAGGAGGAGAAGAAGAAAGACATACATTTGGAAAGATATCTTATGTAATTACTTTTTGATAAAAATAAGTACAGTATAGCTATTGAGATACAAAGCATATAAAAATTCTTGCCCATGTTGGAAAGAAACCCTATCTTTCTATAGTTTTCAAGAGCTCCTAGTGGGCATTAGTTGGAGGTCTTTGTTACTTAGAGAGGCTGAGAGGAAAAGAGGAGGGAATCCACGAGGATCCAAGTCTTCTATCTTTACTTCAACCAGAGAAGCTGCTCTTTTATCTATTTTCTCTCATTGTACTTGCATGTAAAATTTTGTTTGAAGATAGTTTCCATGGCTAAACATCATTTTTTTAAAAAACTACCTTCTTACACCTTTGCTGTCAAAGTAGGTTGTAAATTTATTGTGAGCAGAAAGAACTTCTCTGCTCTTGAGAAGTGATTAGTATCTTGCTTTCACATGGGAGGCAAGTAAATACGTAAGTAAAAGTAACACATAATGGGCAAACATCATCAATAGATGAGTAACCAAAGAACAAATATAGTTAATTTATGAAAACATCTTTAACTTTTATCAACAGAGAAATGCAAATTAAAACAAAATACTATTTTTTCCTGTACCAAATCATCTGAGATTCTGAATAAAGGAGGTTTTAAAATGTTAATGCCGTGAAATACCATACATATAGTGTAATTTATGCAATGTACTCTTAAACATTTCAGAAAAAATATATCTATATTCACAGAGAGAGAAAAAGAGATAAAGTGAAGGCAAATGTAATAAAATGCTAACATTCAGGGAATCGGGTGAAGGGTATTGTGGGAATTCTTTGTGTTATTCTTGTTTCTTTCATGTTACTCTTACATTATGTCAATAAATACATTCTCCAAAAATAAGAAAAAGATGATATGGCATTAGAGATATATATAGTTAAAAAAATGATTAAAGTCAATGAATAAGTACTAAGAAAAAAATACAAAATATTGACTATCAGTGAGGATGCCATGAAAGAGTCAATGTTACATACTGCTAGCAGAAGTAGAAGTTGGGACAACCTTTTACAAAACATTTGCTGATGTATATTTAAAGTCTTTGACAATGTTCATTTCATTTTATTTGGTTCATTTCATTTATTTCATATTCATTTCATTTATCTGGAAATCTAAGGAAATAACATAAAATAGCTTCCTGTACAAAATATGTCAAATCTAGCATTTTTTATAAAGCTGACATATGTAAGGAACCTCATTATCTTTCAGTAATCAGATGGTTATATGGTAGAGCCTTATGATTGGGTTATTGTATAATAGTAAATATAATGATGAAGATGGTAGCTGCCATATGCTGACATATAGTTACTATGTATCATGAACTATACTATGTCCTTTTCAAGCCTATCTCATGTAGTTCTTGTAACAGTCTTCAAATTGACATCCATTTACAGTTTATTTTATTATGGAAAACATTGCATGATGTTAAATGTAACATTTTAGGTAACAGTTGTGTGCTAATTTTATAATAAAATATAATAAAAACTTTTCTTTTTGGAAATGGAGTCTCACTCTGTCGTCCAGGTTGGAGTGCAGTGACATGATCTCGGCTCACTGCAACCTCGCCTCCTGGGTTCAAGTAATTCTTCTGCCTCAGCCTCCCTAGTAGCTGGGATTACAGGCGTATGACACCGCATTCGGCTAACTTTTTAAAAAAATATTTTTGGTAGGGTTGGGGTTTCATCATGTTGGCCAGGCTGGTCTCGAACTGACCTCAAGTGATTCACCCGCTTTGGCTTCCTTAAAGTAAACATTTAAAAAGGAAAAGCAATAGTAGAAATGATTTTAGTAGAAGTCTAGACATAGTTTTTATTTAAACTACCATAAAGTTGAAAACAGTTTTAAAAGTATCAGTAGGTTAATTAAGAAATGTAGTTGGTGTTTATATTTAATCCTAATTGATTTCTGAACACAAAAAATTACTATATTTTTTATAACAACAGCAACATACATTGTAATAATTGGCCTGAGAATATTTGATGCCTCAATAAGCTTAAATAGTAGACTTTTTCTGTTTGCATCTGCATTGTACTATAATCAATATAAACATATAATTTGAACAAAAACAAAGTAAATGTAAATTATAGTATAGTATAAATGTAGTAGAAAAATGTGGTATAAAAAAGATCATGTTCCCAGAATTTTAAAGAATATACCTTTTTAGATGTAAAAGTTAGTAAATTACATTTTAAAAGAAATTTTAACTTAAAAAATCTACAGTTGTTATAAATACATTAAATACATTACATGAGAACTGAAATTTTTCAATAGGATAATGGTATTGGCTATTACAATAATGCAAATATTGAGTGAAATATCTTCCGATTTGAAATAGAGACTCAGTATCCTAATGAACATAACACAGAAATGAAAATATCTTTTCCAAAAAATATTTCCATTAAAATTAAGCCCACAAGTATAATACATTTTCTAATTCTTTGTTGCCAAGAATCATGGATAGATTCAGAAAATAGTTTTAAATATTTTATAGAGCTACTAGGTATTTTATATCTTCTGCACAAATTCTAAGTAGATTTAGGCTAATTTTTATTACATACCATAAAGTTAAAAGCAAAAAGTAGAGAATGTAACCAACTGACTTCAATAAATGGAAAATCTAGCATGGATGTTCATAAGGTTGTACCATTGAAATTATCTATCTCAACGTCTTTGTTCTCTGCCTGAAAATTTGAGATCCCAAAAGATTAATGTTTTACAGTACACCCCTTTGACTGCAAAGGGGTGTCTCCATGAACAGTCAAATCTTTATCAAAGGTACATCCTTAACATTGTATCTGTTACCCAGATTCTCTTTTCTAAGAGAAAACAGTGGATGATTAGGAGAAAAGGATATGGTATCCATACTTCCTAGTTTTTATGAGACACTTCTTTTTCTACCTATTATCTTGGTGTAATTATTAACAGTTCTGTCTTTCATACTCAAAACTATCAATCTTGGCTTGGACACCTCAAGGTATTGGGTGTATTGAGTTTTTAATTTGGTTAAATTATGCTGATGGGGTAAAGTGGAGCAGAAATGGGAAAAGGTGGAGTGGCTATTTTCTTTTGCTTACATTCTTCCAGCTAATCCAAGAAATTTTTTACAGACAGGGTCTCACTGGGTCACCCAGGCTGGAGAGCTGTGGCAGGTCCTAGCTCATTGCAGCCTCCAACTCCTGGTCTCAAGCAATACTCTCGCTTCAGCCTCCACAGCTGAGGATTATAGGTGTGTGCCTCTGCACTGAGCTCTAAGAGACATTTGGAAAGACAATGATTGAACAGCTTTCCCAGGATTGCATAAAGTTAGAAGCCCAATGTTTTATCACATTAGTTTGTATTTTAATTGAACAATTGTGTATTATACTGCATACTTGATGACTTGGGTTAAGGTCTCATTCTGTTGCTCAGGTTGGAGTGCAGTGCAGTGGCACCATCATGGCTCAAGCAATCCTCTTGCCTCTTGAGTAACTGGGACTACAGGTGAGCACCAATGTGCCTGGCTGGCTAATTAAAAGAAATTCTTTTTTTTTTTTGTAGCAACAGGGTCTCACCATGTTTCCTAGGATTGGGTTAATCTTGTTGTAAGCCAGTGTTTGGTTTTCCTGCTCAAGAACACTAATAATTGGACATGTACTTATTCTGAGACTGTTAATACATTTTAGTCTTTTGCTTCTATCTTCTTTCCGTTATAAGCTATAAACTTAGAAGATCTGGTGAGGCACTGAGTTAAAAACAAATAAAAAAAAGTCAAGAAATAACTTTCTGCTGGGAAGCAATAATTTCAATTACTGTGTTTAAGTTACTATTTAGAAGGGGAGGCACAAATAAATTGGCACATGCAAATTATATGCAAACACGTTTGGTCTTCTCAATTTATGGTCCCATAATTTGAATTAAAATGTTCCTTTAAAGACGATTATGTAGTCCTAATGTTCTGTAACAGCAAACCAAAATTTGGATTCTCTAAGGAGAAACTTAGCGTTATAAACAAGCTTCCATACTTGGGATTTTGCTAAAACTTGCTCTAAACTAGTCCCATCTTATGTAGTTGATATGTGAAATGTTTGTGTTTTGATGATAAACCCAATGCAATTTTTGGTGTTAAATTGATGTTGCATGGTGGTCACAGTAATGAGTCATAGTTTCTGAGTAGACTTAACTTTTGCTTTCATTTTGGCAAACAAATGGTTATAGATTCACAATTATGTGAATAGATTGTTCCCATGCTAAGTGCAAAGGGAGTAATACTTGAAGAAAATCTTTACCTAATTTATATTAATATTTTATACATATCTAATATATATATAAAACCTGAATCTATTAACTATAATGAACAGGTACTAAGAAGCCATACACTGCCACATGACATAAATTACAATCTCAATGAGATATCCATATTTACATAAGCAGTTCCATAGGCACTCTAAGCTAAGTTCATGGGAAGAAAGTCTTCCAAATGCCATTCATACCACCAGGGATAATTGCAGGACTAGAAAGAAGCATCCATGCCATTGATGGGGAAACAGAGAATGGGGTTTTAATTTTCAGTTTGACTTACATGCTGTTGTCATATCATGGAGACTACAGTTGCAGTTTTACAGCATGGTTTTCCTTGGCTTATTTTAGAATCACAGAAAGAGTAAGCTTGCAAATCTTTTAATAAGGCAATTACATTCAGACAAAGATTAGATCTCAGTGGCACAATAGATTTTTGCTATATATTCAGTATCTTTTTGATATTCCACTGTCACTAGACAAAGCTGTGAATAGTAATGTGACAAGTCTATTCAGAAGACAACAATGAGGGTTTCCTTAATTGTGTTCACTTGTATGCCACACAAACCCTCACTTAATTTTTTTTTTGCCTGTTTTGAAAAAGCAGAAAGAAAATACCATTTAGAGTCACAAAAAACACTGTTGAATCTATCTTTGAAATCTGCATTTTGTATTTGTAAGATTAAAATGTTGAGATATTCAATCATTTAATTTTTTATTTTATAAAAATATCTCATGATTCAAAATGTCAGTCTTAATATAGAAATGAATTACTTGGTATAAAAAGAACAAAAATCCATAAGAATCTAAAGACTTGTTTCAAAATAAGTGCTTTGGATGATGTGGGATGTGGAAATGGAAAATCCATGTGTTAGTTTCTAATGGTTACTAATGAAAAGAAACTTAAATATAATTGTTTTATTTATGAGGCTTGTCCTTCCCCCTCACAAATTAAAATTCCATAAAAAATATTAGTATAGAAATATAAGATATATGGTTATGTTTAGAAAATGCAATTTTACATTAATATATCAGTTTATTTGTGAGAGGGAAATAATATTTATATGAGCTAGCATTTTGTTAATTTTATAAATTAATATTCATATATTAATTTAAAAAATGGATATAATGGCACCTATTTTAATTATCCCAAGTTGAAATTCATTAGCTAAAACTTCATTTAACTTACAGTTCATTGTTTGAAACTAATGAGTTTATAGAAGTAATTATCCTTAATTGCTAACTCAAGCAGGACAAATGGAGACTGATCTAATGAAGAAAGAATTGGGTTCTAATCTTGATCCTACAACTAAATTTTACATCTTGGTTTCATTTAATCTTTTTGTATCTATTTTCTTAAGAGTAAAACAGGGACATATCTGATGTGAGGATAGAATAGAAAACTAATAAGAAAATTCCTGCAAATATAAAAGTGCTACACTAAGGCCCTGTAATATTAGGACAGATATAGAAGATCCAGGTAGGTCCTATATTCACAAATTTGGGAGATTCACATACTGAATCCTGGAAATAAATAAGAAGGACTATATGATTGTACACCAATGGTTACTCTCAAAGAGATAGAAATAAACAAATGACTCTAAAATTTTCTAATATCTTAGAAAATAATTGTTAAATTATACGATGAAATAGAACTTAATTATTCTGAGCAGCATTTACCTTTTTTAAGCACTTAAAAAAAGCTAATTTGATATTACTAGTGGAAGTGATCAATAAAACTTTCTGCTCACTGAAAAGCACTGCAAAGCATTTTGGTGTTTTTGCATAAAAATTAAGCAGAATACTTAGAGCAAATGTAATAAGTAAGATATGAATTAACTTTTTCTAATTAATTGAGACATTTGCACAAATACTAATTGCAATGATCAGATGTCCTGAGAACTATATACCTTGATATTGCTACAGAAATCTGCACTTTTTTGTGCTTGCCAACAGTTTATCATTTTAATGAACTTGTCCAATAGAGGTCGATCACAATACTAGACTTGCATCTGGTGCTTCCAAAAATTATTAAGAAAATAAAAACAATACTTTATGATTGTTAATTATGTGGGCAAATTAATATTCACAATCCTGCAAACCCAAATATTGAGTTTTTAAAAAGTGTTTCCCTAATGTAATTCAGGTCATCCAAAACAGTCCCTCACAAGATCTAAGTTTATCTTGCTGATGTTCTTAATACAGATTTGTCATGGACATTAAAATCCCATACAAAATGTTTGATACTTACTGTGGAAAATCTTAAATGTAATTTTTCAGTATTATATTCTACCTCTACAGATTCTAATGAATGAATAAATTCTTTATTGACTTTGGCTCAAGTGGCAAGGCTATGTGACTCAGGGAATAACCAAGTGTTGGCAGAACAAAAGTGAAAAATCAATAGCAATTGATTATTTAAACTCGGAATTTCAGGGTACTCAGGCAGGATTTATTCTAAGCCAAGCCCCAGTAGGAGCACTCTGAATCTATCTGATTTGTAAACTGTCTCCAATACTTTTTCCTATATAGTTAATTTGCAATCAGAATTGCTGTTTTAAACTAGGGCATCTTATCTGTTGGTGAATGTTATATAGTGCATGTAATTTATTTATTTTTGTTCATATATATGTCAGTGTCTACCTATGTCCCATTACTTTTTTACCTTTTGACTTCTGACCCTTCTCTTGAGATGTTTCTTCTTTATATTATTTTATTTCAGAAAATGCTAGAATTCCTTCAAGACTCTAGTACCCCTGTGGTGTTGTCATATTGAATTGTGGGGGAGGGGTGTTATCCCATCTGATCTCAGCCAAATCAGGATGGGACATCATTCAATTGAAAGCCAAGAGGGACACAATTGGAAAGCAGTGCACCATGCTTTTTGTATATTGCACCTGCCTCTTGGGGGGCATGCTAAAAGTGGCAGCACTTTCAGAAAGAGAAAAGCTGGCAGATGTTGGCGGTGATTAAAGGGATGATTAAAAACTGGCACACTCTCTCCATGAAAGTGTGTCTGTGTTTATTCAACTACACTTAGAACTTGGCAGGTCTTGGAGATCTGGCCAGACCAGCAAAACTCTGGCAGGACCACTGTTACTCATAGTTTCTTCTTCCAAGATACTGGTATCAGATACTAAGCAATTAAATTTGCCAAAACAATATATAGTGTCATAAATATAATTTTTGTATGAACTAAGTAGAACATAAGGAAGTTACTTTCACAATATGGTTATTGAATATTACAAACACTGATTTTTTGACTACACGTATGAATGAATGAATAATTTTTAATTGGACCAGAAAGAACAGACAAAATTACATAAGCAAGAATTAAAATAAAATATCTGAGCTCATAAGATTAAAAAGTACTGACATAGATGAACTATTGCTGAAACAACCAGTATTATCTCATTTTCATTATTTAAAAGAGCTATATTAACCAATGATGGCCCCAGTTCACTAAGTGAAGTGAGCCTAGAGACAAGTATAATGAAGGAAGACTTTTCACATTGCTGAGAAGAATCAAAAGTGGACAAGGAACAAATGTTGATGTCCTATAGCATGCTGTTGAAATTCATGTCTTTTGTCATGCTGGTACCCTCTCAGCAAATGATAAAATCCTCAAAATGATAAAACTTGTATTTCTGGCAAGCACCCATTGTTTGCCATTATTGTCCATCTTGATAATATGAATAAAGCTGTAAGATTTTGCTGAAATCAGTATATTATTACTTTTTCTAATGTAGCTATAAGTGGAACTAAGGTTAATACATTTGCTAAGTTTCTTTCTTTGTGAAGTTATTGGAATATGTTCATTTTGTAGCTGTTGTTTTATAATAAAACAAACACATAGGAACACATACAAAGAATTTTTTGCTCCTTAGTTCAACTAAACTCTGGGTTCTTGTCTCATGACCAGGAAAAGTTAGGCACATGGACACATTGAAGGGTGAGGAGAGCAGAATTTATTAAAAGAAAGCTGTGAAAAAAATGGCATCCTGCCAACAAGCTCTCACCTCACAGATTGAACACCAGACCACCACACATGAGCTGAAGAGGCCAGGATCCTCCTGCTGCATAAGGCACAAATTCCCCATGGCCCCACCCCATTCTCCCACTGAGCAGGCAGGCTCTTAGTCTGAGTCACTCCACATTGATTTACTTCTCTTACTGCACATGTGTTAAGGGATGGAATTTTTTAG